GGGTTGATAAAACAGCGTAAAACTAGACTGAAATCCCAAGGTGGGCTGGGGTCTCATACTTCAGGGTAAAGTTTTGAAGGCCCTTAAGGAATCTGTTTGTCATTGGGTGGGTAAATACCAAATGATCTTCTATCTTGGAGTGGAATGCAGTAATGGCAGCCAGATACACGCGAACGGAGCTTGTGGGGAGCCCTGATCTTTTTAGCTCTAGGATGTAATCCAGGATAAGTGGTAAAATAGTGCTAATTGCTGAGACATGTTTGGTGTCGCACCAAGTCCAGAATCTTTTCCATTGATGTAGGTAAGTGTAGCATGTTGTCAAACAACTGCTATTTATAAGATTCTCTTTACGTTTTCTGAACAGATCCTGGAACCATGAAGGAGACATACCTCCAGATGGAGTCATTTTAGATTTGGATGGAGAATTTGACCTGCATCCTGTGACAGGTGGTGTGGAGTCAACTGCAGGGTGATTGGTGGACAGACTGCCATGTATAAGAGGTAAGGATACCATATGTGTCGTGGCCATGTTGGGGCTATGAGAATGACTCTGGCTCATTCCACTTGTATCTTGTGAAGCACTTTGAGTAGTAGGGGGAAGGGTGGAAAGGCACAGAGGAGAGGTGTATCCCATGTACTGGGGAGGGCGTCCCCCAGAGATTGGTGACCCAGACCTGTTCTTGAGCAGATTTGTGGGCATTTTGAATTTTTTGAGTGTGGCAAACAGATCTATGACCAGAAATCCCCAGTGGCCGAATATGTGCTGTAGGGGTCTTGTGTCTGTCTCCCACTTGTGTTCTTGTCAGAACCTCCTCCTCAGTGACTCTGCCGTGATGTTCTGGTGTCCAGGTAGGTTTGCGGCAGAGATATTGATGCTATGTTGGATGCACCAATTCCACAATTTTAATGCTTCTGTATGCAGGGATTAAGACCTCACTCTGTCCTGTCTGTTGATATGAAACACGCAGGCAGTGTTGTCTGTGATTACTCTTATAGCCTTTTGTCTGATTATTGGTATAATTTGTAGGCATGCATTGAGGACTGCATGTAATTCTAGGAGGTTGATGTACAATGTGGATTCCGATGGGGACCACTTGCCCTGTACCGTGTGGGTCTGTAGATGCGCTCCCCAACTGAGTAGGGAGGTGCTGATCTTCAGTATCAAGTATGGTGGTGGTTGGAGGAAGAGAACTCCCATGCAGACATTCTGGGATTGTGTCCACCAATCTAATGTGTCCTTGACTGTGAGTGGTAGCAAGGGCAGTTTATTGAGGCTGTGTCTGTGGGGTACATACACTGTGCGTAGCCATTCCTGGAAGTGGCGCGTATGTAATCTGGCATGTTTTCTCATGAACATGGTCACTGCTATATGACCAAGCAACTGTAGACAAGTTCTGGCAGAGATCTATAGGCTAGTCTTCATAGTGGAGATGAGTGATTATTGCGGAAAAATCTGTGAGCTGGAAGGAAGGCTCTGGCCTCTCTTTGAACTAGTTTGGCTCCAATAAACTCCACTTGTTATGCTGGAGTCAATGTTGTTTTTTGTATGTTTATCTGGAGGCAGAGTCTCAGAAAAAATCCATTGTTTTTCTTATGGTTTCGAGCGTGTCGACTGTGGACGGGGCCTTGATGAGGCAGTAGTCTAGGTATGGGAATATTATAATCCCTTGTTTGCGGAGGTGTGCTGCCACCACTGTCATGTGTACTGAAGAGAGACCAAAGGGTAGTACCTTGTATTGATAATGGTTGGACCCCAGAAGAAATCTGAGGAACCTCCTGTGGGAAGGGTGTATGCTAATATGGAAGTATGCATCTTGGAGGTCAAGGGCCGAGAACCAATCCCCCTGTTGCATTGCTGGGATTGTTGTTGATAGTGTGACCATCTTGAATCGCTGTAGTTTGACAAACTTGTTGAGGTTCCGCAAGTCTAGAATAGACCTTCACCCACCGGATTCCATTTGGATTAGAAAATAGTGGGAATAAAAGCCTTTTCCACTGTGCTGGAATGGGACCACTTTCATGGCTCCCGGTCACAGAAGGTGGTTTATTTCTTCTCATAGAAGGTGCTTGTGAGAAGTGTCCCTCAAGAGGGAAAGCGGAGGGGAGGGTGGGCAGGAGAGAGAGGAACAGAATCGAATACCCATTCTTGAGGGGAGGTGGCAGATTCCCCCAGCCATTGGATCGGGTTAGACCTTTCTCTGCTGGGAAGGACAGAAGGAGCTGGGGAGCTCCAGCCTGGCAAACTCTCAGACTGAGGGCCTGGTACAGGGCCTCAAGGAGGTACTAGGACTGCATAGGTGTAGGAAGAGACAGCCGGACCAATCCCCTTACCGGACCAATCTTCAGGGGCAAACTGACAGTAATTGACCATTGGAACACTCTGAAATGGCCACTCCCAATGGCATGGGGAGGCTTCTCTATACAAATTCAGACTGGCAGTGGGTCACTGAGGTGAGGTGGGCTTGGGGGACTGGGGTTTCCCAGAGAGGGAACTCTCTGTTTTAGTGTATTTTAAAGAGCATCCTCCTAGGGGAGTTTTTAGTCTCCAAGGCCCTGGTAGAACCTGGCACTAGAGCTGTGTGATTAATGGATTTTTTTGGTTCACTGGCAACTGAGAAATATTGGGGGAAAATCATTGTAGGTAGAACTGCAAATGACATTTGTCAGTGAGTTTGGTGAATCTAAAGTTAGGAAAGATTGTCTCAGGTCAAACAAAATGTTTTGTTCCACTTGAAATAAAATGTTGTGTTTAGATATCCAGCATCTTTTACCATTTTGAATTGTTTTTAATAAAACTGAAAAAATAAATAAAAGAAAAATCATCCAAATGAACAGTTTGGAAAAAGATCAACAAGCAGCCAGGGTATTCTGTGGCTGGGATAATCATTGCCAAAGGACCAGAGCCATTGGAAGGGGAGAGATGGGCTGTAGTATATAGGGATGCTGTGAAATTATTTAAAAAAAACCCCAAAGGAAATTAAATGTGAGAGAGCCAGACTGCACACCACAGTTTATCCCTTCTTCCTGCCCTCCAAATTCCCCTACCCCTTGTACCTTCTTGCCTTCCCCTGTGAACACACATCAAAATTCCCCCTATCTCTGGCACCTACCTTAACTTGTGCACACACTCCCCCCAAAATTCCTCCTCACTCAACACCTCCATACATTAGCCTGCACATACATTCACCGTAGTTCCCCCTTCCATCATGGTCCACCTGTTGTGCAGTTCTGGTGCAAGTACCAGCTTTGAAAAAGATATTTGGGATTAGTGGTCATTGTTTTTCATATCTGAAAGTTTCTCTGTCAGAAAGAATGTCCCCCTTCCAAAATGGCCATCATCTTCCACTCTTCTCTATAAGACTGAAGCCACGGC